AAAAACCGTTGGCATAAGCCAACGGTTACAGCTATGTGCCCTTGGGCACATCTTTGGGCGCCATGTGGCGCTTTCGTTCTTTATTTGTTTTTATTTTATTTTTATTTTTATTTTTTATTTATTTTTATTTCGATTTATGCGTGTTACTGTTGCGCAGGGGCCATGCTAACCTCGAGCGCCTGATCTGGGTCGCGCGATCCCTTCGATCGGACGGCCAGATCAGATCGCGCCGGCATGAAAATAACCACGGCCAGCTCCAAAAGGAGCTAGCCCAATGGTATATACTGTTTCTCAGATTCGATCCCGGTATCTGCCGGGTGACAGTTGAGTGCATTATCCTACTGGGCTAGCTCCTGTTTCACACTAAACAGGAGCTGCTCTTCAATATGAAGAGCTTAGCCCAGGTAACATCTATGTCTGCGGCTTTGCAGACTCCGCACGTGTGTGGCCTAGCAGGCGTGCCCCGGTTGTGGCTTAGCAGGGCTGCCCTGCCTGTGGCCTGCCGGCTTACCTGCCCGTGGCCTACCCATACCGGTTAGCCGTGTGGCCGCGGCTGGGTCGGCCATCAAACCGGGTAAGTCTTGGCATTGGCCTATCGTTCCCAAGGCTCGACGTCAAAACCCGCGGCCTGTGCCGCGGCCCTATACCCCGCGCAACCCTCTTTTTAGCCCACTTAAGCCCTGAATCGCGTGGCTTATCAGCCGTGCGACACCATTATAGATAGAATAGGTTTAATTTTAACATTTCTCTATCCGCACGTTCTTGCGGCTTCGACAAAAACGTAGCCTTTGTCATTCACACCCGATACCTCCGGACGTCACATGCGTCCGGACTAAAGTTTGAAAACTCTTAGTTTCTCAGTCATAGGTCAGGTCTGAACAAACGTTTTGGCAAACGTTAGTCTTATCAAGTCCTTCAATTCAACACAAGAGTCGGACAACGCCCGACGTTCAAAAACACCGGCAAATACCCTTGTAAGGGTTTTTGCCCCGACAACAATCCCAAACCCCATTGAACGACGTCCCCGTCGTTCACCCTATATTAGTCAATTATATAGGGCTCTCTGGATTCTTATGGAACTCTTTTTAACAAAATCTCTTTCAATCGAAAATAAGTCGGAGCTTATAACTAAAATTCGAGTTATTGCCTCGGTAATCTAAAATTCAATCATCCTTGATTGGAATGGTACCAGATATAGCCTCTGGCAAGCCTTTCATCAAAACCTGAATTTATACCGGTTCAAGTTCCGGAATTACTAAAAATTTTTCAAGGAACTTTGTCTACATGGTCCCATCATCATCCAACTGGCGGTAACTCTAAACATCATTTAGTCTCTCAGAATGGTACCGAAAATAGCCTCCGGCTAGCCTTCTAAACCTCAGTCGGCTAATATTTACATTTATCTAAAAAAAGTCAGGTTAACCCCCTGACGGGTATTTCAAAATAAATAACCTTCTGAGCGGCCCAGACAGAATCTGAACCAACCATTCATGAGAGAAACCATTTATCAAAAGTCCTTGTCCAGGTTTTGTATCCCATTCTAATTACGAGTTATCACATGTGACATTTTTCCTGCATGCTTTGTGATATGCGTCGAGGAGTGGTGTAATCCTCAAGGGATAACATCTCGACGTCAAGCCCCGCTTTAGACTCGAGCCTCACCACCTTCCCTCCGATTCCAGTATCACGTGCTTGTCAGTCCCCTACCTGCAAGGTTGAACTACCCTTTCTCTATGACCTAGGCTGGTCAGACCCGACCATAGAGGCGAGGTGACCCCATTCGTCACAAGGTCAAGGTGATCACTCCTTCCCCCATGACGAGCGGCAGTCGTCACCCTTACAAGCAAGATTCCAACAATCACAACAATACCTTCCTCCCTTTCAATGATAGTGTAGCCACCCTCCTTAAAAACGGAAAAGTGACAGCATCCCACTATGGACCAGGAACAAGTTCCGGCGTAGGCCTCACTACCACCTACAGAGCTCACTGCATCATGACTCATCATAACATGATAACTAAAAAAACATTACGAAAGTTTTAGGCTATGATAAATAAATGCAGTACATGCCTTAGCGAATAACGCACGGAGTTATCCTTCAAGCCATATAATGCAAATTACATATCATCTTCCTATAACTTTTTATCAAATAACAATATACATTTCCACAGAGAGTTTCATACATTCCAGTCCAAAAATATTCATAAATTTGCATTGCATCATATTTCATTGAAAAAGTAACAAGAAATCATTCAAATTTAGGAATCAACAATTTTTCGATCCAAAATCACAACATAATTCCACGAACAGGAGTCGTAGGAGTCGTAAAATTTGTTAATTTACAAAAACATGGAACTATAGGTCTAAGAATTAAAATCAAATCCCAAGAGTCCAAAGTTATAATTCCCTTGTCTGTCTTCAGAACTAGTCAGCAATTTGTGATCCTCTGTAAGAAAGAGAGCGGACAAAGAAAAGCAAGTCCCTTTTATCCACAATTTATTCTAATTACAAACTCTTTTATTAAGTCCTTGGAATAAACTTTCTCAAATGCGATCCCGACACCCAATTTCTACCTCGAGCCCCATCCAACTCTTCGATCTCATAAGCCCCACGCTCAGATTTCTTGATAATACGACAGGGCCCCAACCATCGACTGTCCAATTTCCGAGACCATTGTTTTTTCAAGGACGAATCATAAAGAAGTACGATATCCCCTACTACCAACGGTTCCTTACGAACACGAGGCCTTTTATCCCATCTTTCCTTGTCGGCCTGTCTACTTTCTCCAGTAGAGGCAGCGGCCTCCTCAATCCTTTCCTCAGTGATCATCACTTGTCTTGCCCTCAATTCCAACAACTCCTCCGTTGAAAGCTTTGTTTCCACATCCTGCTTTCTCCGAGTGGTCAGAAAATTTTCGATCGGAAAAGCTGTATGCCGCCCAAACCACAACGTGACCGGAGCGTATCCAGTTGTCCGCTTTATGGTGACATTCTCAACAAAGAATGTCGTTCTCAGATATATCGGTCATCTTGAAGGATCGTCTCCGCACCATTTAGCCAACAAATTTGTTAGAGTGGCGTGTCCACGTTAAACTGGCGCATTGGCCTGGGGATGTGCCCTTGTAGCATAGCTAAAACTTACTCCAAGTTTCTTCAGAAGCGCCTGCACTTCCCCAGCTCGAAACTCACCACCTCGATTCATGACAATTTCCCGGACAAATGGGTACCGAAGATAATATTCCTCAATGCATTCTGCTAAAACATGCCAAGTACGCTCGCGAATGGCACAGCCATCAACGAACCCAGTCAGATTATCTCTTGCGTTGAAGATATATCTGTACCTATTTATTCCAGGTGGCATGACTAACAGATCAAGGTATACTACTGCTCCTGGCTTAGCGACATAGCGTGGATTAAGAGGTTCAACAAAACACAGATTAGATCGCCTTTAGCAAGGAAGACAAGAGTTACATAAGTCATTTACCATCTTGTTCATTCCTTCCCAAAAATAAAGATGTTGAATCTTTTTCAAAGTGACTCGTGCCGATCTATGTCCGCCTGCGACCCCATCATGCAAAGCCGCAATCACATCAAGTTGTCGCGTAACCCCACATACCACTCTTCTCGGAATGTCATCGTTGGATTTCTTGAAAATATGACCATATCTTACAACAAAATCCTTACTTTTCTGACGAACATCTGGATCCACCTCATCCTCCCTCAACTCACCATTCAACCACATTCCCATTAATTTATACTCCCCATCATACTCTCCTTCTCTGAAAGCCTCTCTGATTCCATCGCCTTCTGCTTCTTCATTCATCATTTTCAGGCAGTCCTCGTGAATTAGAGAGTTCACAAGGAATGATATCTCTCCAGTGATCCTGAAAGTCTTATCAGCCTGCTCATGCCCATACTCAATCGTCAGCGGCTCTTTGATGAGCTCGACTTCATCAGACAAAGCCAAATTCATCATTTGCTCAGATGTTCTTTCACCCCATGGGTCTTCCTCAATGAACGACTCCCCAATCACGAACTCTGATCGCACATGATGGAAACAAGGAGCATTCCAGATGGTTTTCCCATTCCGGGTTGTTGCATCCGCCAAGTAATTGTATGAGTTAATACTCAACTGTGACTCTTTTCCTTCGAGGAATCCATCGACAGGAACCGAATCCTCAGCCTGATCCGTTGATGAGTACCAATCAACACGACTCAATCCATCTGCTCGATTCTGAGCGCCTGAAATGCGCTCAATCTCAAAATTGAACATCCAAATATACGTCAGCCATCGAGCAGTGGTTGGATCAGAAGGAGAATACTTCTTTAATGATTGAGCTAGAGCCGTAGGATCAACTCGCAGAATGAACCGCTTGCCAAATATATAATTCCTGAAAATACGCAGACAGTGAAGCACAGCGAGAGTTTCCTTCTTGAACTGGGAGTATTTTCGCTCAGTAATATTCAGAGTTCTGCTCTCGAACCTCAATGGCCGTTCCCGTCCTTCCCCATCCTTTTGGACAAAAACTCCTCCCAAAGCGGTAGGACCTGCATCGGTCTCGATGATGAAAGGACGGCCTTCAGTATCATAAAAGCAAGGAACTCCCAGAATCAGGCCGCCTTCTCGAAACTCAGCTTTAATATCCTCAACGGCTGACTGCTGCTTCGGTCCCCACTCCCAGACCTGATTCTTGCGTACTAACTTCCACAAGTGTTCCACCCTCGCTGCGAACCTGCGGATAAAAACTCGCCAAAATCCGCATGTTCCGAGGAAGCTCCGAACGTCGGTAATAGATCTGAAGGGAGTCGGCCACTCCAAGATCTCATTCGTTTTCTGGGCATCTGGCCGACGATCTTTCTCATCACAAAGGAAACCCATTATTACCGCCTTCCTCATATCATGCCTTGATTTAACCCCGATAGCAGTGAGGTTATATTCGTTTAGTTTCCTCAGAACCTTTTCCACATTACTGATGTGTTCCTATACGAACTTTCGAACGTCAAGTAACACTTCAGTCTCGTCCTTGACTCGAGGTCCTGGGATAGCCAAATCATCGATATATGGAGAAGTCACGTTCGGACAAAGCGGCTGCATGACTCTCATCATATATCTCTGCACAATTGTCACAACATTCGTCCAACCCTGTGGAGCCGCGCACATATGAAGCAGTCCCCGAGGCGTGTGCATCGCCGTCATAGGTCGATCCGCTGTGTACAGCGGGAACTGATCATACCCTGAATACAAATCAATTAAGGTGATGATGGGCCGGCCTGCACAAGCTTCCGAGAGTTGGTCGGCGTTCGGAAGTCCACCTGCATCTCGGACTGTTACAGAATTCAATTTTTGCAGGTCCTGAACCCATCGTAAAACACCGTTCGGCTTGATGAAGCAGAGCCAAGGGGATGTATACGGCCCATACGAATAGTCTGCCACTTTGGTCCGAATCTTACCATCAAGATAATCCACCACCTTCCGGTGATCGTCTGGATTCGGATATCGTGGACCTCTCACATTCTATGGCTCATGTGGTACCGTATGAATCCGGATCATTGGAATCATATCGACGTCCAGCCTTCCACGCTCATCGTCATCAAAATCATAAGCAAGATGGACTTTCTTCACAACGTCGATAAAGAATTGAATTTCCTCCTTAGTAAGAAGGTCATCCTCTCCAATGATCATCCCCTTGACCCTGTCTTCTGTTAATCGACACGGCCCCTTCTCACTTTTCTCCTTCAACATTCTGATCCACTCGCGTTCTTCCTTGTAATACACTTCCTTTTCTTGAGTGATCAGAACTGACACTGGTCGCGCCTTCTCTCCTACTTTCTTATACTTCCTCTTGGACCCAATGCTGAGCTTCCATCCCCTAAAAAAGACTCTTGCCTGACTGATGGCAGTGATTCCTCCATACGAGATTCATTTGGCCGATAAACAAGATGCATGGTTCTTGCACCTTCCTTGTCAACCACAGCCTCCATCAGGGCATGTACCAGGCTCGGATCAATTGTAGGATGGCTTGCTGCAAAATCGACTGCCTGCGAGATACTAGGCAATGTCAACGAAAATTCCTGAGGATCCTTTTCTTCATCGATCGCCTCTTTCTCCCTCCTCAACTTCTCAGATTTTAAAAAGGTATATGATTCAGGATTCAACCAGTTCCTTGAATTTGCTGGTCCGGTATTTGCGCACTTTACCACTTCATAATAGCCGCAAACCGGATCGCATAAAGCTACAAACATGATGTCGTCATGCTTGTTGAAGATTATGCTCTCTGTGCGACATTGAAAATATCTTCCCAAAAGCACTTCGTGCTCAACTTTTGGCAATATATAAAAGTACGATCTCGCTTTTACTTTTCCAACGGTGATCATCACGCCACTAGCCGTACCGCAAAATGGTGTTGCCCCGCTGACTCCAATCAAATATCCAAAGTCATGGCGATTGATCTGAATTCCAGCTTCAATCGCATGCCTCTCCCTCATGATCTTCATTTCGGCCCCATCGTCTATGAGAGCCGAGAACTCTCCACGACCGATTTAAACTTTTATGAGGTCTGTGGCCACGCATCGCCAGTCCATCTTTGTGCCAAGAGGTGCCCAGTTAGCTTCTGGAGGGATAATCTCACTCAACTTGATTGTCATGACTTTCTTCCGAGTCATGCGTTGCTTGAATTCCTCGCGAAGCTTTGACGATACTGCAAGAATCTCCTTCAAGGTAACCAGATCACGCTGACTTTCCAGAATACGATCCACCAGCTGTTCAAAATCAATCCCTTGTTCAACAGGAATTGAGTACACGTTCTTCTTTTTGCGAGGTTCTTCTTCCTCGACCTGAGTCTTCCCTGCTTACGACGCCCTTTCCATAGCTCTTTGCTTTGCTAGCAGTTCATCCTCTGCTCGCAATCTTTCATCCTCCTCCTCATCATCCCCTTCTTCTATCTGAATAGGTTCTTTTTCCTGAGGTTCCTTTGAACTTTCTCCTGGCGCAGGCTGCGATTGTGAGGTCTTCCTTCCTTTTCTCGTCTGCACCATGACGGTTGGCATCCCTCGCTTAAGTACAGGTCTGGACATCGTCATTGGTCATGTCATTGACATTGCTTCCTGCGTCGAAGCGGCCGCAGGTGCAGACCCATCCTGACCTTCTTTCCCCCATCCACCAAAAAGGAACACATTAGGAAGGCTCGACCAGACTCTATCCATGTCAACACATAATTGAATAATGAAATCTCGATATTTGCCCAGTTTCCTGGTTACCTCTCGCGCCCGATGAGCGATGTCTTCTTTCCTTTCCTTCAACTCTTTTTCGTCACACCCACCAATCTCCAGAGAAGCCATTGTTTCTTCTAACTAAAAAAAACTTGCTTCTTCAGGAGAAGCTAGGCGGAACGTGGCCGGAAGAGGACGAACCATCCGTCGAAAAACCTCTTTTCTCATTCCTCCTTCAATATCCTGATCGATGAGATTTCCCTCGAAGTCAAAGACTTCTCCTCGAATCGTCGTAAAGACGATATGGTCTTTTTCGTCCTTGGCGAGAATCTGACAGAAATGAATAATGTGCCCCTTCATATCGCAATATTTGCAGACGTATTCCTGCCAGTTCCCACGTCCGCCTCCGTTTCCGCGGCCCCTATCACGTCCTCGACCACCCTGTGGTTGAGTCTGTTGACCTTGATTTTGTTGTCCTTGGTCAACCTGTCGCTCCCCGCTTCCATTTCCTCCATTCTTGCTGCTTTCTCCTTGTTTATGAGAAGTACATTGCCCTCCTCGTATTTGGTTCAAGGCTTTCCTCTCAGCCTTGGTCAACTTACGAGGGGGTTTCCTTTCCTCCTCGCTTTCACTCTCACTGCTACTCTCTTCATTGATAGGCTGCTTCTCTTTTCTCTTCCCAGTTTTCGCCTTAGCCATCATCACTTGAAGCTTCAACCGCTCTTCTTTCATGCTTGTCATCATCTCCTTCATGTCAGATAAGGTTTTATAGACTTCCCTGTCCTTATCTGTTCCCAACTGTATCCTCTCTCGATTCTCCTTCTGCTGTTTCAGCGATCGGTACAGGATCTGATCAAAGTTCCCGGCCAATAAATTCTCTCGAATTTTTGACCAATCATATCGCTCTTTCATTCCCTTTACCAATTCTAGTTGCTCCACTTCCGTGAAATTATCCAGGAAGATGAGGCAACGATCTTTGTCTGGAACGTTAGGAACTAACCTTGCCACCCGCTCGAATTCAGTAAGGAACTGCTTTGTTGTACCAAAGCTTTTCCGACTAACCTTCCTCAAATCGGTTAAGTCCAACAGTTGATCGCTCAACTGGTACTTGTCTAGCAGCTTCCTTTTGAATTCTGGCCAGTCCAGCGAATCTTGTACCAACTCCTCCACCTCTTCCTTGTACTGGATCTTGCAGTATCTCTTCACCATTCGCAACATCTTTTCATTCGACCATTCGCAGCAACTTCCCAATTGCTCAAACTTTTCTGCCCATCCCGAGGCGTTGTTTCCATCGAACAATGGAACGTCAACCTTCGGGATTTTATCCTTCTGGGACTGCTGAATAATTCTGGCAAGCTCCCGAATGTTATTTCTCCTCTCGTCCTGATTGTCGTTGTTATTAGTCATCTTGAGTGAAAAAAAACAACAACATATGAATCTTTCTGCATAAATAATATCTCATAATTTTGGGATCAAATTAATGACTTTTTCTGAGGTCAAACAAGGAGAAGAAAATAATTTTTTTACTCCATTAATCACCCAAGTGTCGTTCCGCTAGGGACAACGCTAGTTTGCCGTTATCCCCGGCAACGGCGCCACCTGTCACGCGCATCGGCCCTCGTGTGAAAAACGAGGGCCCTCTCGGCCATGTCACGCATGAGTTTACCTAAAAACACATCTTTCAGAGACAACTCGGGAACGACGCATACTGTTCTGTGAACCGCCGAGACGGACGAGGTTGCTTCGCTCCATCGCCGCTCTAGCCGGGTGCGCCAGCTATACATCCCACGGTCCCCTACGACAGGACAGGTTCCCGCGGGGCATAAGCTTGCATCCCTAAGGGGCTGTCACCACCCTCAGGGGCGTATCCCTACCGAGCTACTGATCCACGTGCGAAGACTTTTATGTGCAATCGCAGAGGTAGATCAGCCGAGGGCGTTTGCTCGTCTCGCTGCAGTATAGGAATTGTTTGACTAAACGCCGAATGAACCCGTGCGTCGTTCGTTCCCTGGGGCGCTGATCTCCCAAGTACGAAGTGTACGCCGGTCGACTAGGACATTCTCAACCAAATATGAAAACGATCCTTAGTCCCTAGCAATCAAACAACAAAAATCCCCATACTTAAAAAAAATCACACAATCCAAATCGTTGACTTGATGAGCTAGTCTGCCAAAGTGTCTCTTTTTCAACCTGTATGACTTACAAAACTTTTATATTGTCGTTCCAAGATTATTAATTTAAAGAAATAAACTAAAAGTTATTTTCCTATCATGACTACTGAAACTTGTCATGAATAACTTCTGTAAGTAAATATGATTGATACCCTGCAGATCAACAAGTGATCTGGTTCCTGGTCGATGTTTGAACTCCCGACTCGACCACGTTTCCGTACCATATACAACCATTTGGATGAGCAAATGACAACTTTGTTKGTCGCTTTGCCCTCCTTGACAATAATTACTCTTTCTGTTCCACGAATGATGGAGTATCCATCTCTAACGCCAAGTTATGCAACGCAGACATATTTCATCTTCCGCTGCTTTGCTTGACAACTTTTTCAGACGTTCACTTTTCACTTTATCCAGCTTATTTTTATGCGAACGATTGCCCCTCAATGCATAAGCATGATAGTGAAATCATCGGGGTAATCCAAATACTATCCATCCGGCGGTCCTAACTACACAAAGTGTTTTGTTTTTGTTTTTAGATTACCTCGTGAAACCATTAGTTATATGGTTTCCTCAACAGGACTGAGTCCATGCAAAGTGTTTTCTGAAATATGAGTAAGATTTCAGAAGACGATGTCTAATCCTGGTAAATCTCTCGTCCGCCACGCACCTGTGCCTCCAATAAATCCAAACGTGTCAGCTCGTCGTCGTCGAAAATCAAAGTAGACCTTCGTCCATATCGCATGACTCTAACAATCCGAGTATTATAGAAGGAGGTCATCCAAGAGGCTAGTCTCCAAACTATAACTCGGAGAGGTCGACTAAGTCCAAACAGGTGTCGAATCTCTGTGTCTCGGATCCGGACGACGCTGAAACGCCTGCCGGACGAGGTAATCTTGATACTCACAATGACTCGAGAGAGGCATTGAAGGTTACTCGCGCGGTGGAAACACAAAGTATATCCGTAAAGCTCGTCGGGAATCCGAGCCGTGTTGGCTCGGAAATCTGCGCGAGTAATAGGGAAAAATCCCTCGCCATTTTGAAGCAGTCCGATGMAGCCGAGCCAGTCGATAGAAGATYCATCCCGTASTCGTAAAAGTCRTGCCGCACTCCTGATGAGATCCTCCTCGTGTGTATYACGAACCAGCMGATACCTCGGGATCGTMAAGTCTCGTCGTGCTCCAGGCATCTGCGTATCAGAACGAATTCAAATCAGTTACGTAAAAATTCCTCGAGTTCYTCCGCTTCATTTTCYAATTCATCGTCATATAATGCATCARCCCCTATTAYTGCGTAYCTATTGGCACGTATCCGCTCCGCGTAGTATATGCCAAAAAATGRRCCTTGTCGCTCGTTCAGCTAAAGCACGTAACGRAYGTACATCAACCTTAWTTCAGRGATTTCGTCCACTCRTGTGTTGATCTCATAGGGCTGCAASACCACCAGGTTCATATTGACGAAGTGACGCTCAGGCAATGGCGGTSCGAACTCGTAATGAAGAATATCCAGGTCGTTATCACTCCTGAAAACAAGTCGTCTGGGGGKTCTTTSYGYACTACCAMCCCAAAATCGCGGAACGTYCTCCTCAGAATATAATTCTGACGGWTTATAAATAAGTCTGYCTACCCTTTCTACGCTCACTCCATCACGCCTTTGGAGTTCAACTCTCTCCGCTGCCGCATCACGATTGTTGAAAAGGAATAGTTTCGTGCTTTTCATAGCCATCTGAAGTAAAAAGGAAGCCGAATGTGATTAAGTTAAAACTAAGTATCACTAAAACATTTGTCTTCCTTCTGGCCCGTGCTTCTTATGGCACGACTAACCTCGTCAGGAGTATCTAAATGTACTCCGTTCAGCTAGTGAAACATGAGTCGGGTTGCTTGTGGCGCCAACTCTCCATACGTTAGTGGTACCTAGGGTGACCACTTAAACAGGATT